CCCCCCCCCCCCCGAAAATATGCGGGTTTTTGTACTGCTGTTACACAGCACAAATATGCGGATTTTTTTCTGCTGTTACACAGCTCTCGTCATTCCGATATAAAAATCTGATAACAAAAAAGGCCTACATATGCGAAACACTGTCACCGACGAAAGTAGGAAAGTGAACAACGGAAACTACGATGAAGATGTCTGAAATTTTTTTCCTGATCACTTTTACAGCTAAACTCTCTGTCAGATAGACAAGGAATATTACTGCGAATGCACGATAAAGTAAAACTGCAATGAGGCACGGCATTTTGTTCGCCATACTGACAATCGGCGGACATCGCATATCAATGAGTGGTGTTCGCTAGAAAACAAACGAAGCTCGCACGATTTCTGGACAAACTGGCGGAATGGAGCTCAGCAAAAAAGATTTGCCATAAGTGAGCCTAGAGTGTGGTAGCATCCCAAATATTCGCCCAAACCGATTGTCCGGGTGGTTTCCGTATAGTGGCTAAAGTAACGCTTCCCACGTTATAAAATAAAAAGCTAATCAGCAAAACACCTAAATTATCAGTGTGGTATATTCGACGTTTTAATTTGTCACTGCATTTCCATTACCACTGCCCCACCAAGCCCCAACACGCTCCTGTTACAGTTTTACTAGGCCGCATCCGAAGCTGCTTGTTTTGTTTTATACTGGTCAATTTACTGTGTATGCATGCCAAGCAATCCTCGAAGGCCGTCCTTGCTTCTCCTCATGGATAAAAATATCATTCTGATCATGACAGAAAGTAAAATCTGCTGGATGGAGACGATGGCCGCCTCTGGCAAATCAGCGAAAAAAGTTGACCGCAGGGGATCATTTAAATGTACTTACAGCGGACTGTTGGAAACTAAATGAAAATTTTTCAAAACAGAAGTTACTCGATGAAGCGCAGCTGTCTGAACACTTACTTTGATGTACCTCTGCATCAACGACACCCGAATCACACTGGAAAGCAACCCGTTTGTGCTTATTGTTTGTCAGTGATTCATCCGGAACCCGACTGTTGCCATTTTTGAGAAGAATCCCAGGAAAATTAGCAGCCTGTTGCGGACATTTTTCAGATTCCTCCACTGGAAACGGCTGATTCGACCGCAGGGCCGGGGTCGACGATGCGCTGTAATCTTTTTCGAATACTGCGACATCTTGTGAATTTACAACTGTTACCGGTACAGGGGCCGCAGCCACCGTCTTCTCGGTGCTTTTATTATTTTCGTCCTTCTTGGTGACCGGTTTTCCAATGACGAATATTGTTGGCTTAGTCTGGATGATCTGTTCGCTGGTGTCGGTCATCACACCCCTGTCTGCCACTTTTTTGTCATTTGTAGAATTCTTTTGCACATTATTTCCTATAGGCCTACGACTGATCCTGAAGATTTGCGTGCCCTCATTTGCCTTTTCATTTAAGGCCAAATCCCGCTGGGCTTTTTGCGCTACTGAATTGACTGCCCTCTCAAGTATCGAATAGTTCTGACTAGTTTTACTGACGTCGATAGCTGACGCAGAATTAGTCGTTGTTGTTGGCTGTTTTGGAGCACTACTGCTATGAAAAATACTGCGAACATGTTCTACGTTGAACGGTTTTGGTGCTGGTACGGGTGGCGGCTGTTTTACGTTAAGCGCGCTACGAAACTGCTGGACATTTTCAAAAAAATTTTCCATATGCCGAAGGGATGGCGATTGTTTTGGTGGTTCCCTCGGTGAGAGTACTGTCGGCACCGGAGCAGTGGAATGTTCACTTTTACTATCAAGTGTTTCAGCTTTTCGGCGGAATTTCGGATCCTGCTCCAACTCGGCTTTCACGCCTTTCGCTACATTGAACATTGCAATGTTTGCCGGTGCATTCATGTCAGTCTTTAATAAATCTGGATCCGAGACGCGCCTCTGCAACGGCAACGTCTTCGGTGGTGCTACATGATGTAAAGTTGCGTAATTTTTATGCCTTTCCAGCTGCTGGTAGACAACAGGCTTCTGCTCACTGATGGGTAATGAAGGAGGAACTTGCAAAGAAGCAAACTGCGAAGCACCGCCAGCAGTTTCCGGAAAACGCTCAAAGTCCTGAACAGGCGGAATATTAGAACGTCCGCTCGTGAAGCTGGATACGGCAGGATGAAATGGCGACTGCTGGGCGAGGCCTTCACTGAAAGGAACCGCCGAACTCGATCGAAACCGACTGGCCTTTCGTTGGAATTCTTCGTGATAAGGCCTCAGAATCTGCTCCTGTGATGACGGCTGCACTGGACGTGCCCACGGCGGAGGC